ATATTCAGTGAATGGAAACGAAAGCAATAATGTTGATCTCTTGGATTTTAAAGAAGACTTCAGAGAAATCTCTGGTTCTGTTTTCATTCCGGATCTTACAGAGTAGGAAAGAATAGTAAGAAGACAGCCTGAGGGAAATACTGAATAAAATTGGACTAAACTGAGGTAGTAATAATGAAAAGAGATCCTCTTTCTGGATCTTGCTAACAAATTGTTCGCAATTCACCAAGTCTAAATGGTACCCTTCTGAAATTTCTTAATTAAAAAGTGAGAAAACTTTCTTCCCAATGTAATGAAGGTTTTTTTATTAGAGAAATGAGGATTTCCCTATATAAATGCTGATTTTAAAATGGAGATATGCAGGTATTGTAAAACACTAGCTTTTCCAATTATAGCACATACTGTATATAACATGTCTTGTTGAAGAATGCAGAAGAAACATGTGCTTCTGCAAATGTAAGGCTTGCTTAAGTAATTTTTAAAAAATATTCTTTGAATATGGCAGCATGCAGTGAATAAAAATAATGTCCTCTAGTCATTTATTTATCTGGATTTTTCAAAAGGGCTTTGGTTATTGCTTTTCAAGAATTGTTGAAAAATGCTGGTAGCCAAGGGCAACAGGTGATGATATTCTTAACTGAATTCTAATTGTTTAACAGAAAATAAAGGTGGAATAACTACAGTTTTATAAAAGATTATAAACAGCAACTTGTTACTGGGATTGCTGTTTGATAAATGACTTTGTGTTAGATTGAGCAATAAGGGGTTCAAATCTGCTAATGTTCTCAAATATATAGAGGGGAGGAATGAGGAGGAAACAAACAAAGCAACGGTTTTGAAAGTTTTCCAAGGACATACATAAATAGATGTTTATTGATGTGAAAAACAAATCTTAATGGTAAGGGCTGTTGATGACTGACTTGAAATGTTTTGTAGCATATCTCTGTGAAACAGCCACTCAGTGTTTAGTGACTGAAGACATTTTAGTTCCATATGGGGAATCATTAAAAATAAAAAGTCATTTATTGCAAATGAAACTGTTATCTACATTAAAATGCATATAACACCCACCTTTGCAATGCAGTATGTTCCTCTCATACCTCAAAGGATAGTGTAGAGCTGGAAAATATATTGAAATGGAGAATCAGATTTATTAAGGCGCTTAAGTCACTTTTGCATGCTAAAAAGGATTACAGTGTTTGAGATTCTAAGTTAGAAGAAGAAATGGCAAATAGAAAGTGAAATGACACATGAGAGAAATGTGGATAAAATTACTATGTAGAGGATGAATATCTTTCTAAAAAAACATTAAAATATGGAGATACCCAATGCAACGTAATGGTAAAGATTGCTGTTTCACAGCATATTTGTGGCCTGTGAATTTCTCAAAACTGGGCATAGTATCTATGATAGAATATTGTGCTGAAATTTTTGGTCTAATCATGCATACCTATATATGAAACCAGACATTGTTTTCCATTTCTGATTTATGGTGATTATGATGATAGTGATAAACCCCAGCATTCTTGTAGTCCTACATACATGTTCTTGGTAGCTATTATAAGTTTGCCAGTATTCATAGCCATTGTAAGGCTGACATGTTTGATCCAACTTGCTTAGTATTATATATAATTTTCCTGGATTTCTAACCTGTTTTTTAGCCACATCTGCACATATTAAGGATTCAGTTTTTCTGCTGGAAGTATGAGCTTTACCCCTGAGCTTCAACAATGCAGATAAATGAAATATATTACAAGTTGAAGACTTACCAATCATAAATTAACTTTGACTCTGGTGGGTCTTTTAATGCTGACTTGAAGATTAATGTGCCTTTAAGTTTTGAATTTCATTTTGTTTAGGTGCCTCAAGCAAATACACAGATATATAAAATGGTCAGAAACTGCATAAGATTTAGATTATTGTCTAGTTTATTTATTTATTGGGTTGATATCCAGGAGTTCAAGGTTTCCTAAATAGAGCTTCTTTAGTTTGGGCTAAGAGCGAGTCCTGAGTCTCACTCTTAATCCAAAACCTTAGTTTGTATGCTAGTTGCAAAATATTTAATTTGGTTTTTATTTATGAGAGTGGCTATAGTATTAATTTCCTATCCAGTTAAATTTCTATTTGGATAAAATCCATCCTTCCCTACTTTGGTACTAAAGCTTTTATAAATAGGATGATAAAGTTGATATTATAGATGTTTTCAAATACTAAAATATATCACCCAAATGACAGTGCCAGCTTTTCTTCTTCTCTATCTCGGAAATCCTACCAAATCCCCATTTCTACCATTCTGAACAAAACTATATATATATTTTTAGAATTCTTGACTTTGCCTAACATGTTATTGTATTTCTACTATAGTTCTAATATATTTTTGTTTCCTAAATGTTTATCAGATTTCAAAGGGAGAGTTAACAGTTTGTGATCCAGGTTTCCAGGATGTAAGAAGTAACTGTCATGCTGATTTCAAGAAGAAATCTTTATTTGGTGTTGGCATTTTTATCCTTTCTTTTATAGATGTTGGGTATATCTCCCATTTTCTCCCAACTATATATTCCAGTTCAGTAACTACAGTCAAATTTAAACTCTTTAGTTCTTAGTTAGTTGCGTGTCTGTGTGTGTTTGTGTAATGATTAGTTGTGAAAGAATGTATTTTTTGAAAGCAGCTAATTGCCCAGATGTATTTTTTTTAGTCTTAAGTTATAACTAGTGTTGCTTCTATGCATATTGACAGAATTTAAGATTAGGCCTATTAATGTTTTGCATTCTCTTCTGTTGTTCTAGGAAACTTTCCCTGCAGTTTTTCAAGGATTAGGCTTTCTTTAAAAAGGGAGCATGCTTAAAGAACCATGCTGCTTTTCAAGTATATTATATTTACATTTAAAGGAAAGAATTATATGGCACCAACGTAACAGAAGGTGTTGCAAATTGGTCTAATGCAGAATCTTACCAATATTTATTGGTATTTTTCCAATTATAAAAGCTTGCTTTCTTTTTCTTCCATAGTGAATCATGTGAACTATTTTTAATCTTCTGCCCCCCCCCCCCCCCCTGGTTAATTATTAGTGGATTTTACCGGGGTAACATAGGTATAATCAGGGGTGGTATTCACTTACCTTTGCTACTGGTTCGCAAATGTGAGGGCCTTCCACACATGCGCAGAGCGTCAAAAACGGGACATGATCCTGCTTCCGGTTTACTTGAACCGGATAGAACTGGCTGAATACCACCACTGGGTATAACCCTGGTTTGATGTGATGTTTCAGTCACCATGCTAGAAACTGGGAGACTCTGAGTTATAATCCTGTAGTGGGCACAAAGCCAGATGGGTGCCCTTTCGCCAGTCACACACACTCAGGCCTGGGAAAGAAGCAATGGCAAATCACTTCCCAAAAATCTTTGCCAAGAAATATCCAGGAACTTGCCCAGGCAGTCACCAGGAGTCAAAAACTGACTTGAAAGCCACAAAACAAAACTGATTGACATTCTTAATGAGATAAAATACTCGGCAGTTGATTACCCATTTATGTCTTTGAACTGCTATGATGTGCTAAATCTAAACTTTTCTTGCTGTAACACTGAGGCCCATGTTGACAAAGAAAATTGGCAATAACTTTTACTTCTTTGGAGGAATGAGAGGACGTGATGATACAGATATATTGACCAGATAATATCGCCAATGATAGAACACAAAATGTACTGCTGTTTTATTAGAGTTTGTCAAGGTATTATACAGTCAACTAATAAATTCAATTTTGGTTGGAATGTATTCCATTTCATGCTGGATTTTTCTCAGTTTATCTAATTCATATTCTACGTGGAACTTCTGTCCTTAGAGATTCACTGTTTTACAGTAGTGTGTATGCATTTCTGCATTTAGAAGGGGTGAAAAAAAACCCTTTTGCTAATATCTAACTGCTTGAATGAATCAGTATGTAGTTCTGTTGCAAGTAATGCTTTAATTTTAAAATAAATTTGCAATGGAAGTAAACATTATTCAAACTTTGGATCTGGCAGATTTTGTTTTGGCCAAAGAAAATGGGTAATATTTTTTGGGTGGATCCATAAGAAGGCCTGTCTTAATCAGTCATTTTATTTCTTCCTACAAATAACCTACTTATTATAAATAACCATATAAATTTATAAAACCATCAAATGAGCCATGTGAATTTAAGGTGTGGCCCGGTGACTGGTTTTCAGAACAATGGTGCCTCAGAAACCTCAGGGAATTAACATAGATATCAGTGTTAGCTTTCCATCTTACAAGGTTATGTTAAAATCATGACATGTTATGTAAGTGGCATGCTGATGCATTAGTCCCTTTCTAGCTGTGCAAAATTCAGATGTCTGGTTTTATAATTTGTGTGGGACAGCATATTATTGAAGACGTTTCTATATTTTATCAGCTCAATTATTTCAGTAATACTGCTTGAGTCTTTAAACTTTGTCTGTAAATAAATACTGAATTAAACTTTCAGTTGCAACATCAATTGAATTCATACAATCAATGATATTTATGGCATAACTGTGCAAACAGGTTAGTCTACAGAGCTGGACAGCAATTGATGTAATCTCACAAACTTCATAAAAGGTTACTATGAAAGCAATCTCTGGCACAAAAAATTAAATAATCCAGCTGTATATTTTTGCCATTATTTCTACCTCACCCAACCGATTTGTTTTTCAGCACCAGATCTTTGTTTAGCTGAGATAGAGTTCTTGTAGCCATATGTCAGTATATAGGTTTAAAGATGGATGCAAAGTAATTAGTTTGTTCTGCTCTTTTAAACCCGGCTTCTAAAAATATCTTAATTCCTGAAAGAAAAAGACTTTGAATGAATTTGAAAAGATTAGATTGGAATTGCCTGAAATTCTATTAAGCCACACTGCATGGACGTGCTGGGAATATCAATACAATTAATGTAAATTTGTACGAACTGATTTGTTGCATTATCTTGCTAATCTAACATATGGTACTTTTTGTGTCCATATTGCAGACGGCAACTCCAAACTAACATGGCAGTCAGACTGTGTGATGTGGCTTCTCTGCTTAGAAGTGGTTCGTGGGCAGCAGAGCCTTGGACTGGGGTCTGTGGGATTTTTCTTAAATTCTGTAGGCTATTATTAACATGTTGCACTAGTGCTGAGGCCATACCAAACACTTTAAATTATATTTGAATTAATTTTGTACGCTCTCTTACAAGTTCTGGCATAGCTATTAGACTATATTCTGGCTTGGGGCAAGGTTCATGGCATACTTGAAACTTGTAAATATAGATACAACTTTTTCTAATGCTACCTTTCTTCATAATAACTTGAGTTTTGCTCCAGTACAATTTTCTAATAAAAAGAACAGAGTTTGTATTAAATCTGCTTTGGTATGGTCTGAATGCTGAATAACCATAACTCTGGAAATGACTTTACATTGTGTATTTTTTTGGTTACTAAAGAAATTATAGAGTTCCATTTGAATCATAAATTTTCTTGGCTGGAAATAAAAAACTAAAATTCAAAGCTGCTGAAAAACCTATTTTTCCAACAGGTGAAAACTTTATTTACGGATAGGGTATATTTCTTTAAAAGATAGAATATTGGTATGTTTTATTTTGAGTAGCAGATGGTTCTGTAACTGAGACACCGTAATTTCAGATTATATAGGGTATTACAGCTGTTCATTTGAATGTTGCTTTAGGATTTCATTCTTGCCATCTAAGCACAAAAATAAATATGCAGATATGTGAAGATGGTTAGTTATCCTTTAAGAAAAGATCAGTTTAATAATGCTTAAAATAACTTTCTAGAAAGCTTCAGTCTGCAATATTGTGGCCCATATGTTCTGCATGATACAGTAGGAACATTTGAATAACAAACTGCTTAAAATATCCTTGGATAGTTTGTACACGAACAATTCAGTTCTGTTTTGAAATCAGAGGAAAGAGGTTCATAAGGGAGCATATGTTAGAGGAACTGAAAGGAGTGTTCATTAGAAGATATTTGGACCTCTTAAAACAAACATTGAAGGCATGCCTCATTATCCCGGAATTGGTCATTCTCGGGTTGATAGCTCATAATCTCCTACCTTCCCTTTTTCAAGGGTAATATTTATAATTTCCAAGTATTGTTGTTCCATTTTTTTTTACCGAGATAATAATTTGGACTTTATTAAACTACCTAAGATTGAAAATAATGGATTATCAAAAGGCCAGCTGAGGAGAATATGAGGCTGAGTTCCTTCTTGAAGCAATATTATGGGCACACTAAACTAGTTCTTGACTTCTAAAATGAGTTCTGTCTTTTCAGATTTGATTAAAATTTAAATTCCATTCTTATCTGGAAATAATAGCTAATAGGTTTTCTACAGTAGCATTCCTAAAATAAAAGTTTTTCTATATTTAGGAAAGCTCTTGCTTCAAATGACAAAATCTTTTACGCTTCTGTCAATAACTTCAGTTTTCTATTAGCTCACTTTAACTGAAGACATAGTTATACAGGTCTGAATTCACTGCTTTGGGGGGCACTGCGAGAAGCAATAGAGGTCAAAAGTAGTTGATAATAATTGGTGATGAAGCAAGGAAGTGTTCATGTGGTTATTCCAGCATTTGGTACTTCTTAATCCTTGTCAATCACAAAGTTTGGAAGAGAAAACTCTTATTTTGCCAGCAATATAACTAATGTGGCCAATCCAGTTTAATATTTGAAAAGTAACCAAAACAGTACATTTGTTTTTAATAATGTCTTTTATGAAGTCTACTATTGATTGTCATTGTCAGTTCATCATTTGCAATAATTATTGAAAGCTTTATGAGACATTTATTTGAACAGCGTTGAAACTTTATCAGAATTTAATACTTAACCAGTTATTTCTTGGGGTTTACTGAATTAGCTTTGGCTTAGAAAAAACGTTTCAGTAAACCTTTGTAGCTTTATTTTTTCTAAATCGGCTTTATTGTGAGAGAATTACAACAGCTTTGTTTTTATTATAGAACGATAATTGCAGTCTTGACAATTGGGCACTCTTGCATAATGTCAAAGCTTTAAATTCATAGCTAGAATCACTAATAGATGGTGAAATATGAATTCTGACAGTTCCTATTTTCTCTGTTTTTAGCAGGTAATTGCTGCCATGGAAACACAACTGTCTAATGGGCCAACTTGCAATAACACAGCCAATGGCCCTACTACCATAAACAACAACTGCTCATCACCAGTTGATTCTGGGAACACAGAGGACAGCAAAACCAATTTAATAGTCAACTATCTCCCTCAGAATATGACACAAGAAGAGCTCAAAAGTCTGTTTGGGAGCATTGGTGAAATAGAATCCTGCAAACTTGTAAGGGACAAAATCACAGGTATGTAAACAACAGGCGTTTGCAATTTTACATAATATATGCCCTCTATTGAACATTTCTAATAGCATTACTTGTGAATGGCAGAACAGTGTCACATTCCCTTAGAAGATGGATTAATATCTCTTGTGAGCTACAATATGAGAAATGAGCTTAAAAATATATTCAAAAAATAGTTGTATGGGCTGACAGTGTCTTTTGCATAAAATTACTTAGTTGCAAAGACAACATGCTATTTGTCTGCTTCTTAAAGGAATAGGAAATAAAGGCGTATAAAATTGCCTGCATATAGATGATTTTTTATATAGTTGAGGTGAATTGGTTAAGAAGACATTTCATTTATTTACTAAATTTACATGCCACCCACGTCTCTATACTGGTTGATTATCTTCCATCTTTGTCAGCATTGTTAAATTAAATTTGCTACACAAAAAGATAACAGCAATTGAACTTGTAACATTTAGACCCAGACAAAATTTAGACATCCTCCTCCCTGACACCCCCCCCCCCAATAATGGATAAATACATTTTCTTTGAAGTTGTGTTGATGAGATAGTAATGACATCATTATGCAGATTGATGCACATTACACATTACGTAATTTGTGTAATGATGTCATTACACAAATGTTGTAAATTGTGAATGACATAATTTGCATTTTAATGTGCATTTGGGAGTAACAGATGCTCCCAGCCTCTTAGATATTTGAACATTGTTATGTCAGCCCTAATCCTTCTTTTCATTAAACTAGGCATACCCAATTCCTGCAACCGGTTTTCATTATAGTTTCATAGGCCTCCAATCCCCTAACCATCTTTGTCGGTTTTCTCTGTACTCTTTCCAGAGTCTCAATTTTTTTTTATATTGTGGTGACCAAAACTGGATGCAGTTTTCCAAGTGTAGCCTTATAAAGTGGTACTAAACACTTCATGTGATCTTGATTCTATACCTTTGTTAATGCAGCTTAGGATCGTGTTGGTTTTTTGGACAGCTGCAGCAAACTGCTGGCTCATATTTAAGTGATTTTTTTTTTAAATTTGATTTATATGCCGCCCTTCTCCGGAGACTCAGGGCGGCTTACAATGCGTTAAGCAATAGCCTTCATACTTTTGTATATTTTTATACAAAGTCAGCTTATTGCCCCCACAAACTGGGTCCTCATTTCACCTACCTTAGAAAGGATGGAAGACTGAGTCAACCTTGAGCCTTGGAGAGATTCGAACCAGCAGTAATTGCAGGCAGCTGTGTTAATAACAGTGTGCTTAGACCACTGTACCATCAAGGCTCTTGTCCACTAGGACTCAAAGATCCTTCTAACAGTTACTACTATGGAGTCAGATACCACCTATTCTATACCTTTGCATTTGGTTTTTCTCGCCTAAATGTAGAACTTTACTTTTTTCCCCATTGAATTTCATTTTGTTAGATAGGACCCAGTGTTCAAATTGTCAAGATCTTGAGCCTATCTGAGAGACTCAGTCCTGAGAGTCACGTCCTGAGAGGAGACACAGCCCGGGCCATCAAATCAGCATTGTACGATTAGTTTTTGATATCAAGCATTCCCTATCCAGTCTAAACTAATAGTATCTATAACATGATTGTTCCCTTTTACTATAATAGCTAAGCTGGAAAAATGGGAGAAAAAGCAATCTAGTTAAAAGCCGCAAATCAATACTGTAATACTCTTTAATATACTGTAAGGGACATCACTGAAAGTTTTGTTTGTACATTTTGATTTGAGCTCTGAATGGTCAATACTTCATCACTGGAAAAATTGAAATATTTTGCGTACTCCTACTGCAATATCTCTGTTAGTTGCTATCCCTCCCTCCCTTTCACTTTTAACTTTATTCTGGACATACGTTTAGGTTGTTCATGTGATTTCATATTGTGAAATCCACGAATTCTTAAGCCTCCAAATCCTACATAATCTCTTTTCTATCAAATTCTCTGTGTGGTTTCCAGTTGGCCATAGTTTACCATTGTTGTACTGTTCATCTGGGTCATTTTCTCAAATTTTGAATGTTGTGTTTCAGAGTAACAAGGAGTAAGATACCTCTCTTAGCTTCAGTGTTCTGAATTTGCAGAATTTTCTTGGCACCTTCTAGAACTGCATTTCATTTTGTCCAGTATTTATTCTCACTCATTTCCACATTGGAATCTTGGCGAGACAATACTTTGGTTTTATTTTATTTTTTATTTTGGCAAATCTCCTGAAATTTCAGACTCAAGAGTCAATCTAGGAATCTGATACGTTGCAAAAATCTAATACTTCATAAATCATACACTTTATAATTGAAAATTGGCTTGAATAAACTGGTGGCTTTTCTAATTAGGTGATGCTTTAAAAGCATTGTTTTGTTTAAGTCTAGAAATAATGCAAATCTGTTTGCCCACTCCATTTCATTCTGGCCTAAATCCCTTGCTTTAATATGATGATACGGATTTCTCTCTTAATAATTAAAGTTTTTAATATAGTGATGTTGACCTTGTGTTACCCATTCAAAATAGGAGGTCAGGCAATACATAACATAGAGCAGAAAATAGAACAAAGACCCTAGAGCAATTGAATTTGTTCCTACATAATTTGCTTGTTCTTTATTTGTTTACCTTCCAATTGAAGGTGACAAATAGACAGGAAAGTTTTAGTATGATATAGATTTACTTGTAATGCTTTAAATGTTTAAAGGCACTTAAACATTTAACTTTCCACCCTTCTGTGGACTCATTCGTAACTAAGACATAATGTTGAAGACATTGTGTGAAGACATAAATGTTTAAAAGATGCCCCAAATAAAATGCTGCTGCCATTCAAATACCAGAGTAGATAAAAAAGGATTTCAGACATACTGCTATCATACACAGGACCCAGTCCCAATAATCACCATAAAGTAGCAAAAATGATCAGATATAGATGATCAGATATTGTCTGCACATTTTACATGAAATATACAGGTAATCCTCAATGTACGACCACAATTGAGACGAAATTTCCGTTGCTAAGCGAGACAGTGAGTTGTGCCCCAGTTTTATGACATTTCTTGCCATGGTTGTTAAGTGAATAACGGCAGTTGTTAAGTTACTATTAACAACTACTATTAATTCAATTTGTATGCCGCCCCTCTCCGAAGATTCAGCACGGCTCACAATGCATTTAAAATCATTATAAAAAACATTTAAACATTAAAAACATTAAAAACATTAAAACTCATTCACACCATTCATAGCCGGATCTCGCTGGATCGTAAGAGGAAGATCAACGGCCCCCAGGCCTGCCGGAAAAGCCAGGTCTTCACCGCTTTTCGGAAGGCCGATAGGGTGGGGATGGTCCGGACCTCAGGAGGTAACTGGTTCCAGAGAGCTGGGGCAGCCACAGAGAAGGCCCTCCCCCGCGGGCCCCCCCAGCCGGCATTGTTTAGCTGACGAGATCCGGAGGAGACCAACTCTGTGGGATCTTACCGGTCGTTGGGAGTTATGCGGTAGAAGGCGGTTCTAACACGGTTGTTAAGCATTGACTTTGCTCGTCAGAGGGTCTCAAAAAGTGATCACATGACTCTAGGACACTGCATCCTGTTCGAACCAGTTCCCAACCGTCCTGAATTTTCATCACGTGACCACAAGGATGCTGCAATGGTTGCAATTGTGAAAAACAGCCATTAGCCACTTTTTTCAGTGCCGTTGTAACTTTGAATGAGGACCACCTGTATTGATACTTTAATTGCCTGGCTTTCTGTCTTGTCCCATGGTTTTCAATGAGGAAAACCCCATTTTTTTCCTAGCTCGCCTTGTGTACTGCTATGCATTACACCAAGGAAGTTGGACTGAGAACCTAATAAAGACTGGTTAATCTGACCATCCATTGGTTAGAACAAAGGTTCTTTCTCTTATCAGCTTTATTTTTCATCCCAATGTTCATTTTATTTTTACCTGGCTTAAGGTAAATAATGAAACCCTCATAGTTTCAACTTCAAACTGTTTACCCTGGACCTCACTCCCTTCTTAAGAGGTCCGTAAAGGGGATGTGCATAAGCGCACCAGCGTACCTACCGTACTTGTCTTACTGTCCCCATTTATTTAGGGACTTCCTTTGTTTATGTTTATGCTCATACCTGTACTTGTCATCTTGTACATATTTGACAAACAAATAAAATAAATGTCTGGTACCTGCTAAATTACAAGTTAAATCTGCACAATCTTGGATGGAAGTCGCCTGTATGTATGCGAGGCAGGCAATCCATAGTGAGGTATAAAAAGTGTCATTCCAGAGATACCATGTTTTATGCATTGTATTTCTATGCCAAACTGTTCGCTATGTTGCATGACCACGTTCTGTCTGGTTTAATTTTTCAGAGATCCCCCGCACTTGAGTTTTAGACTAAATTTTGCAAGGCTAAAAGGGTCTAAGGGTCTGAATCTGATATATTTTTTAGTCTTTAAAGTCTCTTCTCTTCTTGCCCCCTTTTTATTTTATTTCTTAAATGCTATTTACAATTTTAAATAGAAAGTAAACAGGTCAAGCTTCTGGTGATTATATGAACATATTCATGTTGTTTTCTTGACAATAGTATGGAAATTAAAGCTATTTCTCAAACATGGCAGGCGGAAAAAAAGAGGACTTTGAAATCTACACTGGATTGCTGGCTTGTTTCTGCATATAGCTACTTCTTGTCTATTTAGACCTTACCTTCTAAAATGGGCTTTTTTTTTCTTTCTTCTCTGCAAAATAGTTCAGACCGGTGCTTTGAGTTTTATTTCTTTTTACAGAGAGGTAATTTTGTTCTTTAGATGCACAATTTTCTTTGCTTTCTTTCACTTCATTTAGAGTCATGTTGAGCTCTTAATTGTACCTTTATTTCAGAAATGAACTCTAAATCGGGGCATGGAATTCGCTTAAGTGATGGTTTAAATAGGTAAACAGTTGGGTCAGCAGAATGAAAGCGTAGCAGAGCCTTCTTTTGAAATCCCATTTTTTTAAAAGGTAGAATATCTTATTCTGCTTTGGA